ACATTAAAGATGCAATCTAACTGTTTATTTGCATCCAACATTTCATAGAGTTCATCAACATTATCAGTCTTTGCACAAGAGGCTAGTAAACCAGTAGCCTCCCGTTTAGAAACATGAGAAGAAGTAGATGTGTGGTTAAAATTTTGAAGACATGACAGCTCTCCAAACAACTGCCTCATCCTTGTTATGTCACTTCTATTCTCAAGGAGAGAAACAAAATCAGAAAGAATACTCTGAGCATCTGATTGACTGGGCTTCTCTTCTTCTGGGCCATAGCATGCCTTGAAGTATGCATCAGTAATGACATCAAATGCATCAGAAAATTCATCCAGTCCATTTTCCGTTGGTGTTACATTGAGAGTAGCAGTAAGAGCAGTGTAAAGTGTTGTCACATTTGGAGGCCCTTCTTGGCTGCTAGTGATATTAGTGATTGCACCAGACTGCAGAACAATAGCCTGTATGCCAGTGATGATTTCTTCTGTGGCATTATGTAGTTTTTCTACATAAGAAGACAGGGGACTGCTTGCAGGGCAGGATGAACCAAGAATGCCATAAACGAGAGATAGAAATAAAACTAAGTTTGCTGTCGAAATCATCAAGAGCTGCTCGGTTTATCAAGTTCAATACCGAGATTGAGATTTGAGAGTGCTGCAGCTGCTGCTTTCTTTCAAATTCCGTTGAAATTCTTTGTGTGCATGCGCTTTTATAACACCGGTACCGCGCACTGCACTACACTGCACTGGCGTGAATGAGCCACGCCCATGAACACACCTTCTGCAGATTGGTAAACAAGATAATAATTATGTATCAGAGAATTTCCTCCTTTCAATTTTTGACAAAATTTGGTCGACACTATAATAGTACAGGGATTTTGGCCCAATTATGAGCACTTTAAAAATACATAAAAATTTAAATTAGATTAGAATCAGCTCAAACTTTCTACACAAACTAAGTATATATATGTATATGCATCAGAAAAAAATTACTAAAGTAAAGAATTCTCTCCCGTTCATTTTTGACAAAATTTGGCTAACAATCCTGTACTATAGCACAGGGATTTTTTTCTGATTTTTAAACAACTTTAAACACTACAATTTTGGTTCAGAATCATAATATCTCAGTATGTTGGACAGTTGGGGACAGTTCAAACTTACTAAACAAAACTTGTCATTGATTTGATTATGCTACCATACCACAATCAGAATTCAACATTAGAACATGTATATGTATCTGAAAAAATTTAAAATGGAGAATTCTCTCTTACTCATGCTCATTCATTCATACAAATCCTTGCAATCCTTTGTCACTGCACTCTGCTTCAGTCTGATAACTGAGGCCTATTATTAGCCATGCATGGACCCAATGCCCTAACCCGTCACCATTTATCATTCTTGTAGTTGGAGCAAGTACAGGAGTAAAGTTTGTTCTTTACTACACTAGGGAAGGGATATATGTCACAACAATTAAGGATGAGATTGATAAAGAATTACTTTGTTAAGTTTTCAATTGATGACAAAGAAAGCAGCCTACTGCCCAGTGCAATACTTTTTCATAAATGACATTTTACTCTAAAATATTGAAGTTTGCTTTCGTTTTTAGTTTTTCTTTTTAGTATATTGCTGATTTTGATTTTGACAGAGTTATTTGGCTGGAATTTGCTTGAACTTTTATGTGGTTTATGTACATTACAGTAAAAATTGATGTCATTTTAGTGCCATTTTTTAAAATGTTAGAATATCCATAGCTAAAAAATTATTTTCAATTGATTTGAAATAAGGATGTTTGTGAATTTAAATTCCAACACTGAAATATTAATTATATTAGTAATCTTTAATGACAAGCAGCTAATTATTACACCTAAGTGTAATAAAGTAACTGACTATTGTACAGCAGCTTACATGTAGTTAGCAGCAAAAATCAGTCATTGTTTAGGTATTACACTTTGAAATTTCCTCATACATTTCAACTGTCTCTTCCACATAACCTCTCTGTTTCTTTTTTCTTTCTTCCTCTTCACTATTTTATTCAATGAAATTAATAAAGTTTATTGATCCTATACCTTTTCTCATAATTCTCTGAATCGTTCATTTGAGGGCTAAAAATTTTAGTTTTATAACTATACAAAAGTAGGAAGTAGTTACCTTTTTGTTCCTTTTGTTCTTATCCTTGCACGATGTACCATAATGACAGCAACAAGGGCTACATGTATGAGGCCCAAAATAACTAAGCAAGTGAAAGTAACTGAAAGAGCAATTGCTAATGCATTTTCGCTTGAAGCTGTGAAAAAGGAATAGTAAATATAACTGATCTATTGTACATACGTAATGAAACATGAATCTCTGTTGAGTTCTCCCCTTTTCCAGCATAATTTATAGCATTTATCTATACAGAAGGATGATTCAGAGTAAGTATAGATAACTGGCTTACAATAAAATAATAATCTTTGCTTTCATCCAGATTTTGAATATGATAGGTGGTTACGTTTTCAATTGTGATATTGAGAGTCTAAAATAACGTAATTAATATTCAATGTGATAATTCGTACTTGATACATAGCTTGGTATTGCTTGTAGTAAAGCTGATAGTGAAGTATCTTTCCATTTGGTGACTTTGGGTGTTCCCACTCAAGTAACACTGAACTGCTGCTTGTAGCTACAGCAGTGAAGTTATGTGGAGCACTGGCAACTAAAACCAATTAAAATAGTATTTATGATAGCTAGACTATACTGTAAATTTATACCTCCTGTAACTATATGGATTACAGAAACTTCACTAAATGGGCCTTGACCTGCAGAAGTACTGGCAGATATCGATACATTAATATCTGAAAATTCAGGCAATCCTAAGAAATTTGATTAATAACATATTTATAATTAATGTTTAGCAATACCTGTTATGTTAAAACTGTTTGTTGATGAATTATAAGTGTTTCTTTTTTGCCTATGCTCTGTCTGTATTGTATAATGCTGGATAAATCCTCTCCTGTGTGGAATGGGTGGTGGATCCCATTCAATTATGAATGATGTTGGTGTCAAGATGGTATAATTTGTCAAACTTGGAGAATTTGTTGGAGCTATAATGATGCACACACACACACACACACAAAGATATTCACAAAATGCTAATTATAATACTCATAAGCTTACTTCCTTCTAATGAATAAAATTCAAGAGTAATCGGCTGTCCCTTACCAGCAGAAGTGGCAGCACTCACCACTGCAGTGTAACGTGTGTATGGATCTATAAAACATTATTAGAAGTGATGCATTTGATAGCTATCATAACTAGATTACTTAAGTCATCAATTTTGATGTTATATACTGAAGAGTTGTGAGTCTCATTGTATAATCCCATAATGGACACTTCATAGAATAAGATTATTCCATTCTGTTCTTGAGGTAGTGACCATGATATAAGGACAGATGTTTCTGAGATTGATTGTGTTGCTAACTGTGAGACTGGTCCAGGCTCTACAATAACAAAAGTGCATGGTAATAGTCATTGGATATTAGTGTACAAATGGCAAAGAAAGCAGAAAACCATAAAAGAAATTTTTCCTTGTTGGATGAATAGTTTTTTACTATGAATATGATTTCATTAACAATATTTATTATTGTTAACTCAGCTTCCTTCTACAAGAGAAACTATGAATAAAACTTACCTGCTTGATCAGTCAGTACAGCAATTGGTGCAATTTCTGCTGTTTCTCCATTGTCACTGTGAGCCACTATACTAGCATAGACTTGTTGATATGGTGATAGCTCATTCACTTGATACTGGTTAATATCACCAGAGACATTAACTGTAGCAATTGTTCCATTGGTGTAGTCTAGTGTTAGCACATAGTGGGTTATATTTCCTAGTGTAGGATCAACTGGTGATAACCATTCAAATGATATCATTGATCTACTGGTGCTTGTTACATTAAAAGGTATTGTTGGTTTCACGATAGCAGTAAAGTTTATCATCAATGGTTCATTGGAGCATGAGTCAAGTATGACTACTGACCATGCTAAAGTTTGCCCTACTGTTAAAGTTTCTGAAGCATCAAATGTTATTTGAAGCTCCTTTTCTTGCTGCATCGGCTCAATTGTAAATGGCATTGTATCAACATTGACATTAACTTGAGGGTGCATTATAATAGACACAGAAGCTTCAAGTGACTTAGGACCACTCTTGATATTTGATACAGCAATGCGAGCTAATGAAGTCCCTCCTGGATTGAGAACAATGGTAGACTTTCCTTTAAGTTCAACTTGTATTGATGGAGCATCAAATGTGATATACGAGTCTGGGACAACATGAGTGAATGGTATTCCTCCAATATCGTGTCCACGTAGCTGGTACTGGACTGATCCATGGGGTAGTGTCAGTGATCCTGAAAGAAAGCCTCCACATTCACTTAGCTGAGCATACTCAAGAACATTATTAAGGTTGTCAATAATTTCCAAATAGAGTGGATAGGCAAGAGAAATGTTACTGAATTGAGGAGATGATATTGTGAAAGTATGGGTATCACCTATTAAGAACAAAAATTATTAAGTATCACATTGTTTAATTTTCCACTTACAGGCATATGGCAATAGCTGCTTTGTTGGGAGTAATTCCCCATTTTCACTTTCCTTTAAATAATCTACATCCAATTCAAGAGAAACTGATGAAGTTAGAGAAAGTTGAAGTGTTCCTGAAGAAACGCATGCCCTCCAGTTCCCAGGCTGTGGGTTTGTATCTTTGTAAACAGCAAAACTATTGGCAAATGTTGCAATGTTGTGACTACTGCTATCAGGCTTGGTAATAGTAATGGAACTTGAAGATGTTTCAATAAGGCATGAGAATCGACGAACAAAATGTGATATCTGAAAATATTGACATGAATTGGGCGTATTTCTTCTTTTTCTTTTACTACTGTCTGAGTCATATGACCCGGTAATAAAGTCTGCAAATATTTGGAAATTTGCTGCATCAATTTGGTTCACGCTAACACCTCCTGTAGCATTTTTGATATCTTCATAATGCCCAAAGCCATCTGAACCACATCCAGACCCACTGTAAAAGAAATGTACTGTTACATCTGGTTTATCTTGAGCATTGGCAGCATCAATGACACTTTGATATAACGAATCATCTTTTGCTGAAGCATCAGTTAGCACTATTATGTTATGCTTTCCTTCATTTTGGACTTTTTGCCTGTTAATGCCATCAATAAGGTCTATTGCTGCAAGTATTGCAGTCATTCCATATTCTGGACAATCTCCACCTCCATTTGCTGTTAAACTGTTAACATCTGTCAATAGATCATTAACCCCTCGAACAGTAATGCTAGTGTTTGTCATTGAGAATGAAGGATACTGATTAGAAATGTTGCTGTGATAGTTGGCATCATAAATCCTATCAAAGTCCAAATCTATTGTGATTTGTGAAAATAAAAATTGTTAAAAATAAAATTACTTTGTTTAAAATTTGCTACACTTTCGTATCCATAATCATTGAAAGGAACCAGGACATAACACAGTGTTATATTATTTTCTTCACTTTGTAAGAAATGCTGAATAACATCCCTGGCATGACCAATCTCAGCCCCCATACTACCAGTAGTATCAACAACAAATGCAAGACAATGTTTCTTTTCTTTTACATAAAGAGGCTGGCCATCAGTTGTTGTGCAGTTATTAGGATCATTTAAGTTAAATATACAGTCTAACTGATCATTAGTATCTAGACACTTGTAGAGTAGGCTAATACTTGTAGCCATGGCACAAACAGACAAATCAGCAACTATCAGAGATCTTTTAGAAACATGAGACAAAGATGCGTTGCTAAAATTCTGTAGGCATGACAGCTCACCAAACAACTGCCTCATCCTTGTTATGTCGCTTCTATTCTCAAGGAGAGAAAGGAAATCAGTAAGAATACTTTGAGCATCTGATTGACTGGGCTTCTCTTCTTCTGGGCCATAGCATGCCTTGAAGTATGCATCAGTAATGACATCAAATGCATCAGAAAATTCATCCAGTCCATTTTCTGTTGGTGTTACATTGAGAGTAGCAGTAAGAGCAGTGTAAAGTGTTGTCACATTTGGAGGCCCTTCCTGGTTGCTAGTGATATTAGCGATTGCAGCAGACTGTAGAACAATTGTTTGCATGTCAGTGATGATTTCTTCTGTGGCATTATGTAGTTTTTCTACATAAAACGATAGGGGACTGCTTGCAGGGCAGGATGAACCGAGAGTGCCATAAACGAAAGATAGAAACAAAACTAAATTTACTGTCGGGATCATCATGAACTGCTCAGTTTCAACGTTCAAGTGATGATTGTGCTCTGTGCAGACTTTTGGAGAGGAGGGGCTGAAACGAGCCACGCCTTCATAATCACAGCCACACCTTCATAATCACAGCCACACCTTCTCATTTCCTTACATTGGGTTATAAAAATAGATTATGTTCTCCTTTTCAAAGTCCCTGTACTGTACAGTCTTGGTTGCATAAAATCCTTTTGATGCAACTTCAAAAAAATCTAATTTTGTTTGGAATAAGCTCAAACTTTCTACACAAGTCAAGTGACATGTCATGCATCATAAATGTTGTTACATTAGGAAAGCTATACAATACATTCCCTCCATTATCTTGATATTTATAATGTCTGCTACTAGCCTACCACTGGTATTGTTGCTAAATTTTTGATGATCAGCTGGTTTTAATTTAGCAAATTTGAACTTGCCCATCATGGTTTAAATGTGGCATTGATATGATTAAAAACAATTAATAATTAAGACTAGCCAGGTGTACAGATTAAATTACTTTAATGACAATATAGTCAGGCAGGCAATGCTAAAATTTCATAAATTTTTTATTTTTCTAATCTTGTACTGATCATTTTATTAGTTTAAAATTTTTTTTCAACATCAAATCTCATCTACAACAACTAAAACATATGATAAGTATATATATACTAAAAAATAAGGCCTAAAAGCTAGCTACACAAAATATACTGATGCACTAATTGCATGTATTATAGTCTTCTTTTCTCAGTCTTTCTTACCATAGATATTAGACATAAATTCAAGTTCCTCCTCAAAGCCTTTCTCCTTCTTCTTTATTTCTTTATTGTCTCTATTTGTTCTGTAAAGTTAGCTAATATAGGTAATGTCATTTATACTTAACATACTTTTTCCCTTTGATTCTTTTGATATATATAAATGCAACAACAGCAATGACTACCAGGATTAGAACGACCAAGCAAATAACAAGCACTGATGGAACTATTATTGCTGCTAGGTTTGCACTAGGTTTAGCAGTAGCTACAAAAGAAGTAATAATTATTATAAAATTATGCTTGGCTCAACATACGCATTGTTAGTGAAACATAAATTTCTGATGAGTTGTCACCCATTCCAGCATAATTAATAGCATTCACCTATTATAATAGTGTGATACATTGTGTTTGATTTGTGACAGGCTTACAATGAAATAATGCTCTCCGCTATCAAGGTCTTCAATATGATATGAGTTTTTATAAATTGAGACATCAAGAACCTAAATTATTTATTATTACTACTATTTTCAATTGTAAGTTATTCATACTTGATAGGTGTCATTATCATTGCTAAAGTAGAGCTGGTAGTAAAGTATTTTTCCATTTGGAGATTCAGGATTTGCCCATTCAAGTAGCACTGAGCTACTGCTGGTAGCTGTAGCAGTAAAGTTCTGTGGAGCACTAGCAACTATTTTAAGTATAAAAATCAAGAAAAGCTAGCATTATCATACCTCCTGTAAATATGTGAATGAGGTATGGTCTGCTAAAAGGACCTTGTCCAACAGATGTACTGATGGAAGCCGAGACATTAATATCAGAATATTGTGGTAAACCTTAATAAATAAATTAAAATTAACAAAAAAGGATAGTGCCTAGTGCTTACCTGATATGTAAAGAACTGTTTCAGATGTATTGTAAATATCCAGCTTTTGCATATATTGAACTTTCACCATGTAATTCTGGATGAATCCTCTTCTGTGTTGAACAGGTGGTGGATTCCATGAAAGCATCACTGACTCTGATGTCAAAATAGTATGATTTGTCAAACTTGGAGAATGATTTGGGACTACATTAGAAACAATTCAATTTGCATAGATATTATTATTTTGGCTTACCCCCTTCTAATGAATAAAATTCAAGCATTATTGGTTGCCCTTTGCCAGCAGAAGTTGCAGCACTTACAACAGCAGTATAACGTATGTATGGATCTATATAATTATGATATTCACAGCAATACATGTTAAAAGATGCACTTACTTAAATTATGAACATTAATGCCATATACTGAAGAGTTGTGAGTCTCATTGTATAGTCCTTTAATTGTCACTTCATAGAATAAGATTATCCCATTTTGTTCTTGAGGTAGTGACCAAGATATGTAGGCTGATGTCCCAGAGATTGACTCTACTGCTAGGCGAGACACCGGCCCAGGCTCTGTAATACATAGTAATTACTAACCATGATCAAGCATATTTATTACTTCACTGGAATAGAGTTATAGTAATAAGTATTTCCTCCTCTTAATCAAAGGTAATTACTAAGCATAGTATATATAGATCTGGTGTGGTTACTTTCGTGTGTTTGCTATGTTTGCTCAAAAGTTCTGGAAATGCTACTTTGCAAAGGCTATACCAATTATAACAACATTGCTACAGTTTGGTATTTACATTTTTGTTCTAGGAATATTACTTTGGTATGTTTGCCCAAAGGTTATAACAATCATCCAATTATAATAACATTGTAGTCATGTATTCTTGCTCAGGAAATACCTTAGTATTTTTGCTTCATTTTGGTATATTTCTGCTCAGAAGTTCTGGGAATGCTACTTTGCTCAAAGCCACGGTTTATACTACTCATGCAATTATATATGTAATCCTGGATAGTAATGTGTACATGCATAAATTGGTATTTAATAACAATTTCTGAAAGATAACAAGTGTATAATTTTGATTGAACATCTGTGAATTCACTACTTTGGTATTTTCTAATTTGTATTAGCCAAATAAAAGATACAGGTAACATAGATACATGTACATGATCATGCATAGTAGTTGGCATGAATCTATTCAAGTGAAAAGTAATAAATACCGTATGTCGGGATATATTCGCGGCTGCTTATTTTCGCGATTTTTTCCCTCACTCAGCAATTACCATGGTTACCAGATGCAATTTTAATTGAAAAGGCCGCGATATTAATAGCAAAGGACTCTGTTGCAGTGTTCTTGGGTTGTTGTTCTTCTTGTTTTTGCTAATCTTGGGTCTCTTTGGAGCTGTTTCAACCAGAGCTACTCTCCTCACTCTGCTCGCCGTATCTTGGCCCATTATTGGGACTCACCGCCCATTTATTGGCTTGGGCGTGGTTAATTATCACCAGCAAGTGGAGCGGCAAGGATTTGCAGCAAAGAGCTCGAATGTAGTGGTCCATACAAGAAGATAGCGGACGGAGAATTGGGTGGCTCCCATTAAAGCTGCTAAAGAATAGATAATTTGCTGCTGAACACTGTAATTGTATAAACACGTGGTCTTATTGTCATAGCAACAATCAATTGGTTTCCATGGTATTTAATTGAACCTCTTCATTAGTTTTTATTATCGCGAAAATAAGCAGCCGCGAATATATCCCGACCTACGGTATGCTGGACATGGTTGCAATGGCATTTCTCAAGCATTTAATTGGGCATCGATGGTTTTACTACTTTGGTATTTCAATCAATAATGTATCATACTTATATTGGGCATCAGTACTTTGTTTTACTCAATGGCCATTGACAACATGTCACTTATGGTCTGTATTTGAATCACTTTTCACCCATGTGCCTTTCGTTTATTATGTCAATGTAATTCATGTAAATGCTAATTCCTTCTACTCCACATTTCTCTTAATACAATATATTGCGTATTCAATTCTGTTTGTAAAGGCTGGCCTGCAGTGTCGCTATCACTAGAATATTCTCTTCAAATTTTTAACTCTAATTAGTGTTATAAACTTGATATTATTATTATTATTATTATTATTATTATTATTATTATTATTATATAATCAACCAATTACAAATACCATTATTATGATCATACATAATTCTGGTAAAAGCAATAAACATCCTGGGCATGTATTTCCTACTTTCTTCCTTTATATAATTTAGCATATCATAATTAGCTTGGGTATTGGTACTTTCATTGTTTTGCTATTTCCTCATTTTAATGAATGACATATCATACTTAGATTGGCCATCACTACTTTAGTATTTTTACCCAAAGCTGATAGCAATCATCCAATTATAACAATAATAAGTGTGATCCTACAGATGGTAATTGATGAACATGCATACACTACTCTTAATGATATGCCTATACCTGCTTGATCAGTAAGTACAGCAATTGGTGCAATTTCTGCTGTTTTTCCATTATTACTGTGAGCCACTATACTAGCATAGACTTTTTGATATGGTGATAGCTCATTCACTTGGTACTGGTTAATGTCGCCAGAGATATTAACAGTAGCAATTGTTCCATTGGTGAAGTCTAGCGTCAGCACATAGTGGGTTATATTTCCTAGTGTTGAATCAACTGGTGGTGACCATTCAAGTATTATTGATCTACTGGTGCTTGTTATATTAAGAGGTACTGATGATTTCACAATAGCTGTAAAGTTCACCATCATTGATTCATTGGAGCATGCATCAAGTACAAATACTGACCATGGCAATATCTGATCTACAGCTAATGTCTCTGGAACTATAAATGATATTTGTATTTCCTTTTCTTGACGCATTGGTTCAATAGAAATAAAAGTATCATCGATTTCCACAGATACTTCAGATTGTATGACAATGGACACATTGGCTTGAAGCATCATAGGACCACTCTTGATGTTTGATATGGCAATACGAGCTATTGAAGTCCCTCCTGGGTTGAGAACAATGGGAGACTTTCCTTTAAGCTGAGCTTGTATTGATGGAGTATCGAAGGTGACAAACGAGTCAGGGACAACATGAGTGAATGGTATTCCTCCAATATCATGTCCACGTAGCTGGTACTGGACTGATCCACTGGGCAGTCTTATTGATCCTGAAAGAAAGCCTCCACTTTCACATTGACTTACTTCAGCAAACTGAAGAACATTATTAAGGTTGTCAATTATTTCCAAATAGAGTGGATGGGCAAGAGAAATATTACTCAATTGAGGAGAAGCTAGTGTAAAGATGTGAGTGTCACCTATAAAGCAATCAGAAAGTCATTTTTACATTCATAAATGATATGAACTTACATTGAAATGGTAATTGGCTCTTTGGTAACAGCTCACCATTTTCCCTTTCTTCTAAATAATCTATATCCAACTCAAGAGAAACAGGAGATATAACAGAAATTTCTACTGCACCTGAGGAAACACACACCATCCAGTTCCCAGGCTGTGGGTCTGTGCTTTCATAAACAGTAAAACTTGAGACTGACACAGTCTCAGTGGTGTTGTCAGGCCTCGTAATAGTAACGGAACTTGAAGATGTTTCAATAAGGCATGAGAATCGGCTAACCAAGTGTGATATTTGAAATTTTTTACATAAATCTGTATTTCTTCTTTTTCTTTTACTGCCTGAATGAGAAGACCCAGAAATGAAGTTTGTAAATATTTGGAAATTTGCTGCATTGATTTGGTTAATGCTATAACCTCCTGTAGCATTTTTGACATCTTCGTAATGCCCAAAACCGTCCCCACACCCAGACCCACTGTAAAAGAAATGTACCATTACATCTGGTTTATCTTTGTCATCAGCAGTATCAATCACATCTTCGTATAGGAAATCATCTTTGGCTGAGGCATCAGTTAGTACTATTATGTTATGCTTTCCTTTTTGCTGGACGTCTTGGTCATTAATGCCATCAATAAGGTCTATTGCTTGAAGTATTCCAATCATTCCATATTCTGGACAATCTCCACCCTCATGTGCTATTAAACTGTTAACATCTGTCAATAGATCATTAACCCCTCGAACTGTAATGCTAGTGTCTGTCATTGAGAATGAAGGACTTCCACTGTCTCTACTGAGATAGCTGGCGGCATCGTAAATTCTGCTGTACTCTAAATCTATACAATATTGGTTAATAAATATTAAAAATAGATAAGGTGAGGCTTACTTCTTGTAAAATTTGCTGCAATATCGTACCCATAATCATTAAAAGGAACCAAGACGTAGCAAAGTGTGCGACTGTTTTCTTCGCTTTGTATGAAATTCTGAATAACAGTCTTAACGTGACCAATCTCCTCTCCCATACTTCCAGTAGTATCAACAACAAATGCAAGACAATTCCTTTTTCTAAAACTTGGACTTCTGCATTCCTGAGGACTATTCACGTTAAAGATGCAGCCTAACTCTTGATTTAGATCCAAACATCTATAGAGTTGTTTGACATCAGGAGCTCTTGCACAAAAGGATAAATCAGTAGTCTGCCGTTTAGAAATATTTGAAGAAGTAGATGTATGGTTAAAATTTTGCAGACACAAGAGCTCTCCAAACAACTGCCTCATCCTCGCTATGTCACTTCTATTCTCAAGGAGAGAAATGAAATCAGTAAGAATGCTCTGAGCATCTGATTGACTGGGCTTCTCTTCTTCTGGGCCATAGCATGCCTTGAAGTATGCATCAGTAATGACATCAAATGCATCAGAAAATTCATCCAATCCATTATCACTTGGTGTTGCATTGAGGGAAGCAGTAAGAGCAGTGTAAAGTGTTGTCACATTTGCAGGTCCTTCCTGGTTTGGACCAGACTCCAGAACAATGGCCTGTATGTCAGTGGTGATTTCTTCTGTGGCGTTTTGTAGTCTTTCTGCGTAAAACGAGAGGGGGCTATTTGCAGGGCAGGATGAACCAAGGATGCCATAAACGAGAGATAGGACTAAAACTACTGTCCGCGGGATCATCATGAGCTGCTGCGGGTCAGATTAAAGCTGCTGCCGCTCAGTTTCAGGTTCACTATCAAGGATGTCGAGAGTGGCTGTGCGAGAGGCTTCTATAGAGGAGGGAACAAAGGAAATACACAATTATGCTGCCGTGATAGGATGTAAAATTAATATTAATTTTGTGACAATTATTAATATTACACCCTTATCATTAATTAATTAATTCAAATGAGCCACGCCCAGCATAACCCAGGGAATTACCGGAAGCTGTATGCCATTATCTTTATATGCATAATGTCTACTCTACAACCACTGTACTATTGTTGATAATTGGCTGGTTTTAATTTAGCAAATTTAAACTTTTCCATCATATGATTCAAAATGGCAGGGTTTATTGTGGTGAATCACTATCATAATTTTAGTAATCCTACATTAGTTTTGAATTGCTGATTTCATTGCCAGTGGTAAATGGTCTTGTAATGTATTTTTGAAAAGGTGGATGAAGGTGGTCATCAATGTGGTATTGGTTTTTTAGTCTGCCCGGCCCTAATCGAAAACACTAAGACTAACCAGGTGTACAAGATCAACAATATTCTAATGACAATTTCATAAAATTTTCATTCTTGCCCATCTTTTACCAATAATGTTATTAGTTTGAAAAATTCTTTTTAAAATTGAATTTCAGCTACAACAACTAAAAACATGACAAGTATACTCAAAATAAGGCCTAAAAGCTAGCTACACAAAATATACTGATGCACTAATTCCATGTATTATAATAGTCTTCTTTTCTCAGTCTTTTTCATCATAGATATTAGACATAACATTCAACTTTTCCCCAAAGCCTTTCTCCTTCATTTTTATTTCTTTGTTGTCTCCGTTTGTACTGTAAAGCTAGCTAATGCAGGTTATGTCATTTATACTTAACATACTTTTTCCCTTTGATTCTTTTGAAATATATAAATGCAACAACAGCAATGACTACCAGGATTAGAACAACCAAGCAAAAAACAAGCACTGATGGGACTATTATTGCTGCTAGGTTTGCACTAGGTTTAGCAGTAGCTGCAAAAGAAGTAACAATCATTATAAAATTATGCTTGGCTCAACATACGCATTGTTAGTGAAACATAAATTTCTGATGAGTTCTCACCCATTCCAGCATAATTAACAGCATTCACCTATTACAATAGTGTGATACG